TCGACAATGGAAAGTGTCCTAAAATTGAAAGTTTCCTATTTTAGAAATCAGTTTTTTAATTTAAAAGTAAATAACCTAAAAGGAAATTAGTTTCCTAATTTAAGGTTTAAAGGTAATTTTTGAAATTATTTTCTAATGCGAGCCTCTTAAAATTATCTAACCTAATTATTTGGACAGACCTAAATTAATTTATTGAGCTAAAATAGTTTGGCTAATAGTTTTAATTAAAAGCCTAAAAGACATTTTGGTGGGAGCATAAACATGAACCTTATTGGATAAAGATGAATATTTTAAAGGATTAGATTAAAAAAGCCCACATACTTAATAACTCCTAATCATTGGAGGATTAGGAAGCAACAACCAAGAGTCCTTTTTAAGACTATTTGTCACCCCTCCTTATCCTTGGAGGACAAGGAAAACACTCCCTCTATAAATAGGAGGAAAGGTGTGACAACATAAATACAATTTTAGAAAGAGAGGAAAATGGCATAAAGCAAGATATTTAAGGCACATGGCATTGAGCAAAAACTAAGAAAAAGATAGTTTTCTTCCTAAAGCCCTAGCACACACCACTTTCACTTTCTCTCTTAGGATTTTCATAAAATTAACCTAATTACATTTCAAAAAGAAAAGAAATAAACTATTCAAAAGAGGTGGAGCTAGCATTCTACCAATTTTGAGTGCTTCTTTTATGGGTGCTTGGATCGTGTGGATTATCAATAAAGGTTGGACACTTGGACAACTCCTTTCTGCAAGGGTTGAAATCTATGCCACTAGAGATAATTCTTTACTTAAAGCTTTAATTCATGAATGTATGGTTAGTTGATTCAATGGCATGATTTTGGGCCTTTAGATGGAGGAAAATGTTTTGTTTGATTTTGCACCTCCATAGGATGTATTATCCTTTAACTGGTAACGGAGCCTCTATTGAGTCTTTGATTGTATATTTTATTAATTATGATTAATTGAATGAATTAGCTATTGTTATCATACATACATACATACATACATACATATATACATACATACATACATATATATATATATACATATTATGTGTGTGTATATATTATTAGTGTATGCCCTAGCCCAATACATTGTATTTTGACTCCTTTACTATATATATACATATGAGGCATTGTTTTATCTTATTATCATTCTTGTGCATGTTTAAAATAGATAAAATATCCATGAATAGAATAATTACGCTTAAGTTATCAAATACGTGATTTGATAGTAAAACCTTAAAGCATAAAAGAATTCTATTCTAAATGTCCCTAGTCGATTATTGTCATGGGAATGGCAATAAACTAAGACTAGTATATACTTTGTGAGATGATCATGTTTTACTGGTCATGGATATAGCATATCAATCGGGGAACATAGATACATGTTAGGGAACAAGTGTATTTGGATCGATCCGCTCATGATAACACTACATGGTTGAAAGTCATAAGTGAGTCTCATGCAAATGCTTATACTTGAATCCCTCGACTCGAAATCGTTATGGATTCTTAGATGAATCCTTACACACTTTGACATACACCTAACATCATTTGTAACTAAATGATAAGTATGGGTATGATTGGGTATGCCACGATTCATGCTAAGAAAGATGAATGAAGTGAAGGGATTGCCACTCTCTTTATTGAGAGAAGATATCACCGACCACTTGATTAGTGAAGCCGAGTAGTGCATGGCCATGCCTAAATGAAATGATAAGTGTTATCATTTATTTGATTTAGTCGAGTATCACTAATAGATCAAGAAATTATTTGGCAATAAATAAGGATGACATGTTCCATGCCTTATGCTGATCATGATATCGAGAGGCAAATGGTTATATAAGGTTGCAATTAGGTTACGTTAATTTATATTGACATTCATTCAATTTGGATAGTCATAATGTCTTGCTAGAGACCGCTTATGATTTATGGTCCATAAATTGGATTTAGGCCCATTGCCAACATTGAATAGACCTACGGGATTGCACACTTTAAAAAATCTGAATTTGGATTTAAACTATCTCACTTATCGGGCAATTAAATTATGTTATTAATTAAAACATAATTGAGTGGGCTTAAGTTGATTTTTGGTTCAGGCTTATTTAAATGTTAAATTCAGCCCTAATAGTATTTCAATTAAATGATTATAAATTATTTAATTAAAAGGAGAGAAAGAGTCCTTATTCTTATAGAATAATTAAGAGTAATTTGATTAGGAATGTGATCCATATTTTTTAGGAAGTAGATTGCCATCCAAATTGTAAACAAATCTATTCCTAATAAAAAAAGGAAGGTAGTAGATTTTAAGAAAATAAAAAAAATGGAGAGAAAAAGTTTATCTCACTCTAAGACAAAAATTTGGCACACATATAAAAGAGAGAAAATAGGTTTTGTTCTCCTCCAAACTTAAGGTCGCCACCCCCTCCCCTCTTTCTCTCTTCGAAACCGAAATCATCAATTAATAAAAGTGAGATTGTTTGAGTGCTAGCACACATAATCTTAATCCTATAGGTTTTTGTGTGTGAGATGGTAGAGGGCATTCGCGTTAAGGCGGTGTCTCCCATTGTTCAAATCGACGGAAAAAGGAGCAAGGAAGAGAAATTGATTCAAGCTCACCTTAGTGAATAAAGATTTGGGATCTAACTCAAGGTAAAAGTCTCAACATTTATTGATTATTATAACATACATGTGATCTTGGCATGTTTCTATGGTAAAGTTTATGATTTTCCGCTATGTGTAAACTTAATTAAGTCCATAGGAAACCTTATATATATATATATATATATATATATATATATATACATATACATATAAGAAGATTTGGGCCCAAATTGTGTTGGGGTGTGCAAGGCCGACATTGGACGTTGGCGCTCATACAAATATATGCGTGATAGGCTAGGCTTGACGGGTGGGTAGCAATGTCCTAAGCATGCAATAGGCTAGGCCAACCGGCCAAGAATTCACATGCTAGGTGCACAACGAGCCAAAATCCCACCAGCCCAATCATGCGATAGACGCGTGATCCTAGCATACCTTGTGCACACAAGGTCTTCCGACTTAAGCTAGTCATGCATGAGGCACGCGATGTGCCAAGCTTACCAAGTAGGCTAAGTTCCACATTAGGCATGCAACATGGCAAGCATGCGTTGGGCACACGCCAAGGCTAAGGCAAGGTCACAACATGCCTAAAGAGCGTCAAGCGCAAGCTAGACACACGTATGGCCAAGGCCCGTAGCGTGCTAGGCATGCACGTACACCAAGTAGCAAATCTCGACTTAACATACTCATACATTAAGGGAACATTATATAATGAAATCAGTTGGCTTCCATTGCATTAAATGAAGGCTTAGGTGTCTAATTATTTGCTAAAGATGGTGGTTAAGCTAACTAAGTTCCTTAAGTTAGTTTAGTTCAAGTAACATGACATTTCTTTACTTAAAACATTCGACAATTCCTCCCTAAATAATTGATTCGACAATTCCCTTTCCAAAAATATTCCAACATTCCCCACATTTTAAAATACCTTTCTCACTTATATAATAGGTTCCATAGATATACTAGAGAAAATGAACGATAATTAGCTAAATTATCTAAAAATCCATCCCTAATTCCTCACATAAACACCAAGCATAATAATATTACCAAAACATTAAAACGACACATAAATCACACCTTTGCTCAATGTATATATGTACAAATATCCTTGTACGTATATTAATATGGTTAAGAACTTTATGAGGGTTACATTTCTCTCCCTCTTAAAGGAATTTCATCCATAAAATTGACTCATTTGAATAATTCTAAGCATTTATCTCTCATTTCTTCCACCTCGTCCCAAGTCATATGTTGAGGTTAGGATTTTTCCATAAAATTTTAACTAGACCAATCTCCTTATCCTTAATTGTTTGATCGGCCTATCAAAAATCCGGATCAATCTTTCTTCATATGTTAAATGCGGGGTAAAATTTAGTGACTCTATCTTCGAATTTGGCTCGGCTCTCCTACGCACTTCCTTAGCATGGATACATTAAATACGTTATGTACTCTCGCTAACGATGGCAATAGCATCGGGTGATAGGCCTTATCGCTTACTCGATCCAAGTATTTCAAATGGTCCTATGTACCGTAGACTTAACTTTCCCTTTTTTCCAAATCATTGTACGCCACTTCATTGATGAAAATTTTAGGAATATATAGTCATCGAATATAAACTTCAAATTCTTCCTCTTATCGACGTAGCCTTTCCGTCTAATTTTAGCTATTTTCATCCATTGGTGAATCTTATCTACCACTTCGGTCATTTGTTACACCGGTTCTAGTCCCAACAACTTTGTTTCTCTTATTTCATCCCAAAGCGGGGAGATCTACACCGTCGCCCATACAAAGCTTTATAAGGAGCCATCCCAATTGAAGTTTTGATAGCTATTGTTATATGCAAATTCAGCTAAGCGTACGTATTTCTATCATTTTTCAAACCGAGTCCAAAATGTATGATCGCAACATATCTTCAAGTATTTGAATCATTCATTTGGATTGTTTGTTAGTTTATGGATGATAAGCTATGCTTCGAAGTTTAGCTTCATGCCTATAGCTTTGTGCGGACTTTTTCAAAATGCGAAGGTGAATCTAGGATCTCGATCCGACACCATTGAGATCGAAATCCCATGTAATCTTACAATTTAGTCAAGGTATAACTAGGCGTACTTGGTTCATATTATAGGTGGCTCTAACCGAAAGAAAGTGCACTAATTTGTTCGAGCCTATCCACAATCAACCAAATGGCATCCGACCCTCTTTTCGATCTTGGCAATCCCATGAAATGAAAGAGGGAGAGTGAGGGGTAGAGAAAGATGAGGAAAGAGAAAGAAGGAGAGAAAGGGAGGGGAGAGAGAGAGGGAAGGGGGAGAGAGAGAGGGAGGGAGAGAGAAGGGGTGTTAGAGAAGTGAGAGAGAAGGGAAGAGAAAGGAGGTGAGGGAGGGGAAACCCTAAACCCACGATGGCTCTCTTCTTTCTAAGCCGATGTAAAATTTTAAGGTTTTTATTCCTATCTCGAGCATCTAACCATGGTGGTTCTACCACCTCTCCCAACATATCTACAAGATATATCCTCACCAAGGTTACATGATAGTGATTTAAAGCCTCCTTCATTGATAGATAAAATAACCAATTATGGGCGACAATGTAATAGTACTCTAGCAATCATTACTCGCTCCATAACATATTATAAGTCTAGGTTTCGAGTAATATTGAGGTGTTTCCTCCATTGAAAGCCAAAAAAATAAATGATGGATAGAAATGCAATAATATTATGGTGGTTGTATCTTTTCCATAATCTTTTCCAAGTTTCGCTTTCAACAATTATAAGGAGCTTACATCAATCTCAAGTCCAATCCCATGATTTATTTTTCCTCTTCACTTATTTTTAGAATAGTAGCCTTTAGATGTATGGCCTCAAGCAATCATATATAGTTGAAGGTTGGAGTCTTCACTAGTGTCATTGCATACAAGACAAACTAGATAGAATCTACCTCCCTATTAGCATCCCTAACCGAATCTCTTTTTGTTTCTCCTTCATAAAAGGATTTGAAACTAAACCCAAAGAACATACAACCTAACCTTGCTATATATGCTTCAGTGCTATATAGTTTTAGATCCTCAAAACCCATTAAAAATCGCCAACCACCCATCAAAGACCTTGCTCTTATAATAGGTAGATATTTATTAACGAAGTTCCGACTTGCATTTTCTCCCTTAATGAACTGGAAAATTCTATTGCATAATTCAACAACACACTAGTGCTATAGTTTTTGGGAGGTTGGCCTAGTTTGGTGGATGTCTAAAACTACATCCGGGAAAAATGGCAATTGAACTTGGAACTCGTTATAAGGTTATTGGATATAAGGCACGTCATGGTCCCGTTACATTTTGAAGCCGACACTAATATATCAATAGTAAAAGAGGATCACAAGATTCAAAACTCAATGTATAGAAGTTTCGGGTGGAGTCCTAATTTTGGTTTCGAAAAGATAGTCATATGGTGTTATTTAGGTAAGATTGCCATAATTACCGCTAACCTTCTTCACTCCATCTTACTAAAAGTGGATAGGTGAGTGCATAAGATGTTTCCTTAGAGTAGATGAGAGAATAAGATTCCTTACTCAACCTATGTTTGCTTGCATCTCGTGTAGAGATAGATGCTTCAAAACATCTTCCTTTGAGAGTATGGATCAATAGCTTTAAGGAGAAAAGTTTTTGGAAAAATGTGGACTATGAAGGCAATCTCTTCTTCCGCTCAAGTTGTGGATTGATAGGCCATATTTGGGAAGCATGTTATAAGAGTCAATCATTCCCATCAACTCGCTACTATTTTTACTTGAAAGGTTATTGTGTAGGGAAAGGGATGAAGGTATCATAGATTGTTTAGTATAGCCTTCACAAGGTTTACAAGATACTATAAATTATATTTTTACTATAGTTGATCGATCCAAAAGTATACCATCTACTGCCATAAAGAAAGGAAATGCTTGGAATATGTATCAAAATGTGACTCAACCATGTATTAGGAATGAGATCCGGATAGGCTCTTTGAGTGAGAAAATGTTAATTAAAAATACTATTGTAGTGATCACACACATACTATGCATGCTACCGTAGCTACTTTAGCTAAAAATAAGCTACCGTCATCTATTGCATAATATCAAAGATAGGAACTACTGTAGAAGAGGTTTAAGTGGGCTCTATGAACATGATCTAGATAGTCTTCTCAAGTGGGAAAAATTGAAATAAATCGATTGTATCAGTATTACCTTCATATGGAAAGCATGATACTATAGCTAAAATGCCACACAATATGTATGCTACAATGCCCGATAATGCTAAAAGCCTCCATCCTACTATTATGTAAATTGTTTCTAATGGATAAAGCATTACAAACAATAATATAAAAGAGCATGAAATAGGATCCGGGAAGAAGCTACTTGTAGAATCCATAAGGGTAAAAAATAATGCTACTAGGTAGTTTGATAATACATAGTTGGATGATATGAAAGTAACCAATGTCTAGAGTATTATACATGGTAATAGTTTTGGAAATATGGATCCAATTCTTGCTAGAGGCCTTGATATTCTAGCACCTATTAATGGCATAAGTGTTGATAGAGCTCTATAAGTACAAAAACTCTCAATGGGCCTCAAGAATGAGGTTAGATCGATCCATGTAGATAGTAGGTTTGAACAAAAGCATTATAGAGAGCTCTCCATTGGCAATGAAATTGAACATTATAATGTGGCTAAAAATACATAATTGGGCAAAAAGTAGAATGAGGATAATCCTATAGTTTCAATGTAGATATAGGGACTACCTACTTTTCCATCTTAGATGGTTTAAAGGATAAGGATTTGAAGAATGAGGATTAACGAGGTTGTTTGGAAAGTCTCTCCATCGGACAATGGTTCTCCCGATAAAAATAATAGTAATCCAATGCTCTCATGTTCTCAATCCTCCGATTAGTTAGATTTGGACTAGGAGGACATGGTTCATGTAAACAAATTCTTTAAAGCATTTACAAAGCTAGCTCGTAAAGCAAAACCTCATAACCCGGAAATTAAAAAAAAAAGACATAAATAGCTCTACGAGAACTTGGTACTCCTATCCCTAAATTTTAAATTATGGATGTCTTTTTATGGAATGTTAAGGGGTGGGAAATAATGTTACAATAAATTGTTTAAAATAAGTGAAAAGACTACATTGGCCTATGCTATTTGTTATTTTAGAATCTAAATTGCATGGGGATAAAATTGATGAGGATGTAAAAAAATTACATTTCATGCATCATATGCATTACAATCCTATTAATGTGCATGTTTGGCTTTTTTTTGTGATACTAATGTTTGCATGACTAGTATGGATATTATTGAACAATGAATCGTAGATCAAATAAAAATTCATTGTTGGAGTTCGATCTTATATTCTTTTGTCTATGCCAAGTTTTATAAGGTAGACAGATTGAGTTTGAAGGTCGATTTAGGCAATTTATCTAGCCTCTATTAGCTTTCTTGGTTAGTGGGTAAATTTTCAAGTCATAATAGATGTGTTAGAAAAGGTTGGTGGAATGATCTACAACCTCCAATAAATGAGAGATTTTATGGATTGTTGTAATAATATTAGGGTTGACAATGTTGGCTATACGAGTAGCTAATATACATGATGCAATAATCGACCTAGCCTAGCCGAATTTTGGAAAGACTTGATAGAGTCCTAAATAATGGTCAATTTGTGTCTTCTCTTCCCTCTATTTTAGTCCAACATATTGCTTGGTTTCTCATAAATCATTCTCCTTTGGTGATCCATTTTGAACCGACAAGATAGTCTCATTCCCTATTTAAGTTTCAATGTATATGTGGCACCCCTCCCCGACCCACTTGCTAACTACCTAAAATGGAGTGGCCGGGAGAGGAGCGCATCACGCCGATGTGTCCAACCCGACTTAAACCCTACCGCATACGTGCTAGTACCATTACAACATATTAGATATTAAAATATGTACAATACAATTGATATGATAAGAATATTCACATGGAAAGAAATTATAATTTATTTTATTCACAATACTATCAAAATGTCTACCGATACCCCAACCCAAAATTTATAATTAAAATAAAATCCCCTAAGGTTTGTGTCACCCCCGAGCCCTTTTGGAGGATCCGGCGGCATCCATATCGGTACTACAATCATCAATACCTATCATAACATGCAAATAACAACGAGGTGAGCCGAAGCTAAGGAAGTGGGGTGATGCACGTGATATACAATGCTTTTCCGACTTTCCACCATAATCATAAATTTTAATTCGGGTACCTTGGGTAGTAGCGGTCTACTCTATAGGTGATTACCAAATCACCGAATGTTGACAAAGCAATTATCCCTCATTGTAACCATTATTGATGGGAATCCATCACCTACGGTGTAGGCACACGGCTTAGAGTACACATATAGCTAGATCGCTAACCTCTTTTAATTCGATTAGGTTACCGACCTCTATCCATACACACCACGTTTTGACCATTTGATTCTTTCTTAATTCATCCCCAACAATACACATGATGTCACAATTACGGTATTAAATCCAGTGAGGGTACCAACCATTTAGCTTTCAAACCAATGCACCCATGCTCGGGTTCACATATAATTCACATAATTTCAAACATCTTGTCGCAACGTTCACCTAATTAGGTTTAATACCAACTAGTGTCATTCGTCTGGTCTGTGGGTCCGATTTATATTTAAGACCTTCCTACTCGCTTAACGAGGTACTCTTTACTATTATTTCATTTAACGTTCAACTTAGGAGGTATTTAGCATCTCGGTTGGTTTAAAAACATGCTAGACATAATGCTTCTCCCCTTTTTTGGCAAACTCGGTGCTTAGGTCAAGATTCGATTTCTTTTCATGAATTTACCTATCTAAATTCATTTTTATCCTAATTTGGGCCTAATAAGTCCATAAATTATTTAATTGGCTTGAGAAAACCAAAAGTTCCCCTTTTTCCCATGTTTGGCTCGAATGGTTCTAAAATTTGCAAGGAAATTGTTTTGCTCCTATAAGACTTTTCCTTTCTTATTAAAATGGCTAATCAACCTAATTTTCTTACCATTAGCTTAAGGTCCCTAAACACTAAAACAATTCCATTTTTTTTCTTTCATTCTTGGCCAAACATTTCATAGGTAAAAACCCTAGAATTTTCATTTTATTTTCTTCCTTTCTATTGTTTCAAGCCAAGCTTGTACCAAATCCAAATTATTTTTCTCAAATTTCAACCAAACGAAGTCCAATTCATCACACCCATTATCGACTAATTAAGCTACACATAAGGCTTAATCAAGCTTAAGCAAACAACCATTACAAACAAGCATAATAATAATCAACCATAAGCAACTAATAATCAAAGCAAAAACCAACACCAACACAAACTTAATTTATTATCATAACCAAATAAATGGCATAAATAAATAACCTAAGAACCCATTTACATAGCTTAAGATGTGATTAGGTTTTCCTTAGCTTTCATTTTTTGTTTCTTCTTCTCTCCCTCTCATGGTTTTCTCTCTTTTCTTTCTTGGTGCTCCATGGTTTTTGGCTAAAAGTTCCA